ATTACAGCGGTCCCACTGTTCCTTATGGTGCGATTCACTTGCCCGAGTGTAACTACCCTCAATGAAACCCAGCTTATTTTTGCCTTGTAATGCTAGGCGCATGGCTCTGCTCCAAATAACGTAATTACTGGAGCCGGTGAGGATTTGGGAGACTAAGGTGGTGGCTTGGGTATCTAAGGGATGCAGAAAGAGTGGATGATTTGCATCAATCACTGAAGTGTTGGAAGTCGACTTCTCACTCATCATGGTAGGTTCTTGAATAATCTTTGAACGTGTTTACGATCAGTAAAACTAAAGTGAAATTCTGGGAAAATTGTTGCAAGTGGATCACTGGCGCAGCGGATGACAAAACAATCAGAAACGTAGCAGTCTTCAGGATCTCAGTGATGACAGATCATGGAATCTTGATGTGTCTTGATTGAGGAGACGCAGAAAGATTGGTTGAGGAGATGCAGGAAGATTGAAACTCACCTGCGCACCAGATGGCAGCGGTGTAATCGCGGGAATCTTCAGAGTCTCAGTGATGGCGGTTCCTAAAATTGTGATCTGGCTTGTTGAGAAGCAACCGAAATGGCGCAGTCACGGACCTTTCTTGATGATCCGAGTACTACTGATAGCGCCGATATCAATATCTCTTACGCAGAACAAAATGAGAAACCCTGCTAGATCACAGATTGGGTTTCGGGTATTGCAGATGGTGTTGCCGAAACGACTGTGTTGCAACACGGTAATGATTTCTGGTGAGGAGGCAATGGGGCCTTCGACTTTTGCCAACACGGTGATGATTTCTGGCGAGAAGGCAATGGGGCCTTCGACTTTCACCTTGCAAACGGGCTCAATCACTGGACCTGACGCTCTGGTACCATGTGAAACAGAACTAAACAAGTTACTGGACTTGGTGGAAAATACCAATCGGTTTATTATTGAACAATCGATCAATATTTATACAGCAGATATGAACCCATAATGGGCTTACGGCCCAATACATCAATACACTGGACGCCTATCTCTTAACATAAAGGATTGCCATTTTACAAGATAAAAATCCAGAGAAGACGAGAGTCCAAGAAAGAACAAGACAATGAAATCAATAAGAATGGTGACTCTAAATCTCTGGCTTCTGCGTTTTTTTCCACATAGCCAAACTCTTTTATGTCTTACGACGCTGCTCCGTCCGTTTCCTTCCAGCAGCATAAATAAATCTTGCACCCAAACACCTCCTATACATACCTTTTTTTTAATACTATATTCATAATAATAACAAAAAAAAAAAAATCATCATCATCATCCCTATCTTATCCTTCACATAGCCATGAAGATTGCAGAAGCAGAACAGAACATCCTCGATGACTAGTTCAATGATCCTAACCTTATTTCAAGGCAATTCTTCGAAATTCTTGGTCTTCTCGAACTCATAATTGTCCTCCCCTGAGATCTCAATCCTGACCAATAATTTTCCATCTTCATCATTAATCCGTGACCTCGTCTTACAAATTCTGTAGAACATGGAGGCCACAATAGTATCAAGGACGATGAAGATTGAGTACAAGTAAGCAATGAAGATAGCCTCTAAAGCCATCGAAGGTTCTGCTCGTCCACCAACACGATACGCTCTCACGACCCGAAAGTGAAACAAGGCTTCAATGACGGCCAGAGCCATGTTCATGGGCAGAGCCAAGAGCAAAGCCATTGATGTTCTTCCCCTTAAAAGAACACAAGCCTTAAGAATCGCTAAATACCCTCCACGTCCTTCCATACCAGACACAGCCATCGCCATACTGCTGATGACGAGTGCATTGGCTAAAAGAACAGAGAAGATAACCGCCCCACATGTTGTAACCAAGAACAGGGTATCAGGGGAAGTGTCGTCCAGTCCTTCGACGACACCAAAGGCAAAAAACATAAGACAATACGATGTTGCAATGGCAGAAATAACCAACAATGAGTTGCTAATGCAGGTTTTTAGGAGTGGCTTGTACAGAAATATCATGGAAGTAAAAGAAGAAGCAGAGGAAGCTGGCCTGTGGGGTTGTTTCAGAGCCTCAAAAATGGAAGCTTTAGCGATGATGAGGAAGCTGAGGGTAAAGGGAAGGATGAATATTATGGAAGCGATGGTTTCTGAAGCCTTGTGGCCAAAAAGGGTAAATATTTTTGAAGAAGAAGAAGAAGGGAATCCCGCAGCATCGAACAGAGTCTGCAAGCGATTGGAGATTTGGGGAAAGAGCGATGAAGAGGAAGGGACAAAAGCTTGAGAGAGGAGAATGGAAGCAGAAAACGGAAGAGCGAGGAAAGCAGAAACAGAGGTGAAATAGTGATAGTTCAGAAGGAAACCATGAACTGATCTTCTGAGAATCTTGCCTGCAAAATCCATCGGAATTGGATGTGAGAGAGAGAGAGAGACGAAAACTTCAGAGTAGGTTTTGAAGAAGAGAGAATTTCTAGAACGGAATGTGAAGTTTTGTGAGAAGGGGATTATAAGGAGTGTTGGCTGGCAACACGAAGAAATGGCAAAAAGGAATGGGGCTGTTTGGACATAGTTTTCACCAAAGATTTTGGAAGTATCCTGTGGGTTATAGGAATCCTCACCCGCTAGCTTTACACAAGACAAACAACACAGCCCTCCCTTTCCTGTTCTTACTCTTTCTGTAACTGCAATAATGAAGTTGGTATGGAAGTGGAATTTTTGAGAATTTATCAACTGACTCCGCAATGAGTCATACCAGATTCATTTTATCATTTATGATTTTTATTTTGCGGGCACTCAATTCAATCATTCATTGCATATATCTATTCAGGTCCTTTTTCTCCAGATTATGAATGAAACTTTAAGGGAGTTTATCCATTAGGTGAAGAAAGATTGTGCATTTTTCATTTTACTATTTGGTCCGTGATTTTTTCCTGGAGTGCTCTAAAAGAACTTAAACACCCAGCTAATTTGAAAGATATGCATTTTAAATATTGTTTAGTAACTAGTCCAAGATTAAAAAGAAAGAATCTTTCAAATAATAAGCCAACATATTTATGAATGTCAAGTATTATAGTCCCTGTATGTTGTTTGAGAAAGGATAGCTTAAAATGCACTTTAAGCTATAGACTTAGAATTGGTGGCTACAGTATTTTTCAGGTCCAAGTAACGTACATTTTAAAAAATAATCACAAAATGAAGCATTCAGTTCAATGTGCCCCACCTTTCTTGCATCTTTATGCTTTTTATCTTCAAGTATACTGCAAATTTTTTCAAAAAATCCAATTGAATGGAATGCTTCAAGTAAAAATTTGTTGAAATGGTTTTAGTTTTGATCAAGTTGACTTTAAAAGTTTTAAAAGCCATCCCGCCAAATAATAAAATTATTCACAGTAGTACTAGATAAGGGAGCAGGAATAAGAAGTCAAAAACCATCAAATACAATAAAAATGAACTTGACATGGAATTAGTCAACGCTTAGGTTTTTAAAAAAAAAAGAGAGTTAGGTTTTGTTTATGATATTTCATGTGGATTTGTTGTAATTTCGTGTGCGCAGTAATATTTTCAAGAGTGGTTTTAACAATTCAATTTTAAAAATTTATAGAGCAGAATTATTTAGTTAACAATGTATTTAAAAATTTCATTATTGGTTGAACACAATAATACTATGTGATTTATGTAACCAATCTCATTTAATGAATTGTTATTGCTGCTGCGATTTTAACTTGAATCATAAGATTAAAAAAAAATTATGGATCATTCTTATCATTGCCCACTTATCAATATGTTCCATTTTTCATTTTGCGTCAATGATACCTTGAAATAAAACAATTATTGGGAAAAAAATAAAATTTAATCAAAGATTTCATATCATAAAATGAACTTTATAATTATTTGTGATGCGTGCTCCATATGGCAGGTCACTTGGGTACTTTTCACATGGTGCCTCAATTATTATTATTCTTGGCTTCCAAGATACAATAACAATAACAATAACAATAATAATAATAATAATAATATAACACCAACAACAACAGTAGTTATGCAAAGGACAGATCAAAATGCATATTAAAATGGGGGCTATCTTGTTTTGTATCAATAATAGTTAGATTAAAGGGACCCTTCACCCTTGCTATATCTGGTCATTACAAAGGGTAGACTTAATTTAAAATCACTTCACATTTGTAAAACGTTAATAATTATTAATTGCAAATTATTGTACGCATACATAGACTATGATAAAATGAGTATGTATAACTCTACATTTTTCATTGATTTATATTTATATTTACTTTTCTTATTGCGTTTCATAAAAAAATAAAATGAAACCAATCAATTTCTTTTATTTAGCCAAACAGTCACGTTTTTTTTTTTTTTAAATACAGTTACTTCATATCCCATACGATTGAGTCAAAGTAATTTAAATAAATCATGAATCAAAGAACAAATTAAATATATCTATAAATCAAAGAGAAAAGTAGAAGTAACATTTTCTTAACATTTTTACCTCAAACCCACCAATAAAATCTTACGGCAGTGAAATTCGAACTCACAATTTTGTGAAGTATAAACTGACTTTTTATCAACTGGACGTCTCTCTTGCTAGCTTAAACTCTCTCTATTATTTGTATATGTGAAGGGATTTTTTTTAATCAATGGTGTAATTTTTAATACATATTACTACTATTGGTGCTTAATATAAAAACTAGTTGACCAATTTAAGTAAATTAAGAGAATTAGTTAAGTTAGTTATTTGTAATAAATATGTATTGTTTTTCCTAAAATACTTTGCTAATCAAGTGTCATTTGTTAAATATTTAATACATGCAACTACTACGGAGATTTTTTTTTGAAAAAAATAGATAAATATAAGAGATAAAATGAATCAGGGTCTTGTATTTATGACTAAATTGAAAGTTAAACTAACTCTCATATTAAGGACTGGAAGTAGTGCTTAAAAGAGTATTTTAAAAAACTGAATACACATTTTACATAAATAAATAAATTAACTAGTTTTTATTTGGCTATGATTTAAGTACTAAATATACTAAGAAAAATTTTAATAAGGTCTCATTCAAGAGAATTAAATATAGAAAGGTCCTTTGAAATTATCAAATTAATTTAAAATCCTAAAAGATCTCATTGTAATAAATTTTATTTATTTAATTACCAAATTATCTTTTTTTTTTAAAAGTATGTATTAACAATTGAAAGTATAGTAATTGACAATTTATAGTGTAACGACTAATAACTATCGCGGCAGATATTGACACGATAATTATTAATCATTACAATTTAAATTGTTAACAACAACCCTTCTAGTTGTTAATGCATACTTAAAAAGAACAATTTAGTAATTAAACAAATAAAATCTCTTGTAATGAGATTTCTTAAGACTTCAAAATAATGTCATAATTTTAATATATTTTTTTATATTTAATCCTCTTGAATGAGATCTTATTACAATTTTCTCAGTATACTATCTCACATTACACAAAATTTAAAAATGAGGCATTTTGAGCTTATTATGAAGTGGATGTGTTTATAATGAGTTGGGCATAAGTGGGGAAATGTGGATCTGGTAAGGTGACCTTATGACGTAGTCTGACGTATTTTTTTGTTAGTTAGAGAGTTTAAATTTTTTTTAAACAATATTTCAGCAAATAATAAAAAAAGAATTTGGTCTTGTTTGGCTATTATATGGCCTGGTATTTGCTTGCCTTGGTGAGATGTCAACATATTTGGCGACTTTCTAACTGAAAATTGATTGTAATTAGGTGATCCATTCCAAATTGACAAACTTTTAATGCCTCCCCTCAAATTAATTTCTTCCTTCGTCCCAAAATTCAAGAAAAGGTGTGTCGGTTGCCTTTTTTTTTTTTTTTGCCCCCAAAATACTATTTTATCATTAAATATTATCTAATTTAGTCCAATTTGTTTGGTGGAATTATACATCACTCTCTTGAACTTTGTGTTATGTGTAGATATTTGTTAAAAAAACTTTAAAATTTACAATAAATCCATATCGACTCTTACATTTATTTTATGCAAATAACTCTCATACTAATCATTTTATTTATTATTTATATAGTTAAATATACATACAATGATTTAAGAAGATATATAACTAATTATTAAGATTTATTCATACAAAATTAAAAGTTTAGGTTCGTTGGTCATTAAGTTTTAAAATTTGAAGAGTTATGCACATATGGCTTAGAGTTTAAGAGAATTTTGTGTAATGTTACCTATTTTGAATGATCAATTTAAATACTAGCATGTGTTTTAGTTTTTTTTTTTTGGGTAGAGTCTGACTTATTTTTTTAATATGGTCAAAGACTTAACTCTGCCTTTCTGATAATCTAAAATAATACTCCTCCGGTCCTTATTATAAGATCCAATTTGACTTTTTATTTGGTCCTAATTATAAGACCCAATCCATTTTCTCTCTTATATTTATGTATTTTTTTCCAAGATAATCCTTCTAATAATGATAGTTTTAGCCAATATACTTAATTAGCAAGGATATTTTAGGAATAACAACACTTATTTATTATAAATAACCAACTTAACTTACTTCCTTAATCTCCTCAAATAAGTCAATTGGGTCTTATAATTAGGACCGGAGGAGTACAACCATATCCCGCGGCTTCATTTTCTTTCTTCACAATATAATACTAGCATAACCATCGTGAATTAGTTAAAACTGAATTTCAGATTGATAACATAACCCTTTCCCAATTATGAAACAAAAATGAAGTATGTTTGGTGGAAGGTGAAATTTCAAAAAGCATTTGTCGTTTTGATTTTGTACTTTCTTCATGCTTATTGCCTGAAAATAGTCGTCGCTCATGTCGTTTATGCAAGAAATGGAATAATTTGAAGAGTATGAAAATAGAATTGTCATAATAAGTACATAAATATTTATTGCTTACAATAACTTGGAAACCCATAATTTGAATAATGATTCAGAGGATTTGACATGCATTTGAGTGGTTTGTTTATTTGGCAAAATAAAAACTTGAGCAGACGCTTGATTATCAAATGGGAATAACCAAAATCCACTACACAATTATATAATCTGCCTCTATAATTAATTTGTTTGGATTAATTGACTACATATATTATCAATTATAATATTTGCCACGGAATCTTCCAGATTGATGGTGTCGGTGAGAAGGGCATGGTTGTGCCCTGCAAATTGCGTTAATTATCCATTTTTGAGATACTAGATTGGGCTCCTGAAGATTGGGCCCATGTTAAAGCCCAAATTGCGGACCAAATGTTCAATTTTTATATGGGGTATGCGGCCCAAAAGATAATGCGATGTTTTTCACAAACTTGTAAACTTTTTATTTATTGGAAGTACTATGTTCTAAATATAAAATCTTAATATATTTTATCTTTAATATTTATTTATTTTGTTCTCAAATAATTCTTATAATGATTACATATGCTAAGGAGTTACTACTAATGAATAATTCAAACACACATGATTAATAAATGCATTTTAAAAAAGATAACATATATTTATTATAAATAATTAACTTACTAACTTTTTTTAATTTTTTCAAATTAGGTAATTAGTTCTTATATTAAGGACTCTTTTCGTGGTTGGAAAAAACATCAATATTCATGATTCAGTTTCAGTTTTAATGAATATATAAATAAATAAAATGAGATTTATAACAAACTTTGCTATTTTATTATTAATAAGTCATAAATACTTATTTTTTACTAGCCGCTGGCTACTAAACATTTTTTTCAAAAGGAAAAAAAATATCCATAACGTTGTTGTATCCATGAAATTTTAATCTTATGTTTTGTAGTTCAATTTTTTTATTCAGATGGAAATATAAAATAAAATTAACCATAGCGACTTTTCATTTGCTAATTTAAAGAACGATACTTTTAATTGAGCATTAAAAAATTGAAATGGAAACCATTCAAATAAAATGGTTAGTGTTCATGAAGGAAGAAACTAACCCAAATTCTTACAGCTGAGTACACTGTCCAATATATATCTCTGGCCAAAAAAGGAAATAACAAAAAGAACACAACACACAACATACCCTCCCATAAAATTCCCTACACTACTGCATTTATCACCATATGATACACCAATCCATTCTGGAACATGAGACCCAAACCCTTCAAAGCTTCCACAGCTTTCACGGTCGATTATGGCATTTCGACATTCAAGAACTGATCTCAAATTTTTGCAGGTAGTTCTCTTCTCTTATCTATGAGGACTAAAGGAACTCGTCACAGACATGCCACCTCACCTTCCTTCGAAGTGAGCAATCTGAGAGAACAACATAGAATCAACATCGGTCACATCAGATTCTTCAGTTGCCTGAGTACCAGAATGATCTCCTTTCTCGCCACTCTCATTAGGCTGTTGTAACGCAATCGAACTCGCTGTTGTATCTTCTTTTGTATCGATCCTCGAAACAACTTCTTGAAGCTGCAAAGCATACTCCAGGTTCCACAACACATCCCCCATGGTAGGCCTATCCGCCCCATTATCCTCCAGACACTTCTCCGCGGCTTCAACGAACTTGTTCAACGACCCAGAGGCAATGGTTTCGGCAATACGAGGATCGATGATTCTATAGAGCATACCTCTCCGATGTTGCTGTAATGCCCAATCCGCTAAATTCACTTGTTCCCTTGGAAGTGTCGGGTCAAGCACTGGCCTCGCACATAGTGCTTCCATGAGCACAACCCCGAAAGAATAAACATCGGATTTCTCAGTTAATTGCTGGCTTCTGAAGTATTGAGGATCGAGGTATCCAAAACTACCCTTCACTGCTGTACTCACATGGGTTCTCTCTGGGTTTGCCTTGGATAACCCAAAGTCTGCCACTTTAGCTATGAAGTTTTCGTCTAAGAGAATGTTTGTGGTTTTTACGTCTCGGTGAATGATGCTTTGTGCTGCGCCTGTATGGAGATAGTGAAGGCCACGAGCGGAACCTATGCAGATTTCAAGCCTTTGTTTCCATGATAATGGAGGTAGGTTGGAGCCGTAGAGATGAGAACGAAAAGGGCCGTTGGCCATGTATTCGTAGACGAGAATCATCTCTGAGTTTTCATCACAGAATCCCATTAAGGAAACTAAATGTCGGTGTCGGAGTTTAGAGAGCATTTCTATCTCTGTCCTGAACTCATTTATGCCTTGTTCTGAACTTGGGTTTCCTCGTTTTATGGCAACCTTTGTCCCATCTTCTAATGTCCCAAGATAGACTTTTCCGAATCCTCCGACGCCAATCACTGCTTTTTCTTCAAAGTTATTTGTGGCTTTTTGGAGTTCATCGAAAGCAAAGAAACGTCCGATCCCAGTTGGTGTTAAATAACCAGAGTAGCCGCTTTTGCTCTTGCGGGAACCAAATATGCTTGACCTTCTAGAGCTGCTTTTGCTTGACGCAGAACATAAACTTCCAGGATGGGTGGATTGAATAGGAAGAAGCCATGACGAGAAGCTATCTCTAGCTTCCCATCCACGAGGCCTTCGTCTCCATCGGAAACAGATCACGGCAACAAGAAACATCGCAGTCACAGAGAATCCTAACCCAATAACGGCAGCCACTTTCAGAACCATTGTGCGTGAGCTCGGACCCCTGTATTTCCCATCAACAGAGAAAAATCCATCTAAGCTATCAGCTATATTGCTCATCTTCATCACTTCGAGTCCATTAAGAATCGCATTGGGCATCCCTTGTTGGAGATTCGCGGGACCCACTTGTACCAAAATAGATCCATTTGTAATAGCAGAAGAATTAAGTACGAAGTCCTGGTAAAAAGCAGTGGCTAGAGCTTTGGTTTCAGAGGAAAGATCTAAATTTGCAACACCCATCATCTCGTTTATGTACAAATTGAAGTATAATTGGCTAAGGTTTTGGCTTACAATGTCGCAGAAGTGCAATCTTATCAAGTAGGAGAAACTCTGGTCTACGTTCATTCTCCAAGAGAGGTTGAAATTGCCTTGGTTTACTTTGGGATCTTTCATTTCCATAGCTGAAGAATATACAGAGCCAGGGGCGATCAGTGGAGTCACCTCACCTGTTTCTGGGTACTTGATCAGTTTTGTCGAAACAGAGACATTCTGGGACAATTGCGGGAATGCATTATAGGAAGTATCAGTCTCCCATGATCTTAACAAAGTGTCTCGGTTTGGAGGCATGGGTGGACCTCCAACATTAACTCTGTAACATACCTGAAGAGCATGGTTAAAAATCCCATGGAAATCTCCTTGCGAGGAAACTAAAGTAGCCGCATCAGGGATAAGAGGGTCAGGGGCGGAGACAACCTCGATACCGTTGATGAAAGCGAGAGACTTTTTCTGGGGAATCAACTTTAAGGAGAATCTGGTGTCGGAGACATTAAGGAGGTACTCTTTGAACACAAAAGAGGTATTATCTTTGACAGAGAAGTCATGCAAGAGAACGATTCGATCAGTTTGGACGGAGAAAACCGCCTGGGTGAGATTATAAGAAGGATGAGGAAGTGGGAAGAAGTAAAGGCGAACCCAAAGTCGACCCATCTTGGAGATATAGAAAGTGTATGTGGATTTAGCCGTAAAAATCCTGGCACTATTGAATAAAGGAAGCGAGGTAGGAGGAACCGAGGAGGAAGCATTTATATTGATGGAATCAACTGAAGTTTGGATGTCCTCGTCGGAGGAGAGAAGAGAAGTGGAATCACGATCAGACCTGAAGGTTCTTCCATCTTGGAGAAGGGTCTGCTTCGAGGAGCCACAATCAATGAGATAATTAACAGGGGGCGAGAACAGGCTAGTGATTGAAGCAGCATTGGAAAGGGAAATGAGGAGGAGGAAGACGACGAAGCAGAAGAGGGAAAGAAGATGAAGGGAAGACTGGCCGTGAATTACCACCGCCGATATAAACCCTCCGGCCATACTTCTGTGGGGAAGAAAACCACGGAGGGACGGTGGTGGGGGGATGACGGAGAAACGAGGAAGAGGACTAAGCCATGGAAGAGGAGGAAGAAGGACACGGACATGGATGACAGGTTGGAAAAACAAGAATGGTTGCAGAGGTGGAACATAACAAGAAGGCGGCAAGTCTTCGTAACTCCAATAATGAGTGAGAAAGCATTTACTTTTTCAGAGGGAGGAGTAGTTGATGGGAGTTTTGAGTTTTTTTTTTTGGGGGGGGGGGGGGAGACTAGGTAAAAATGAGTGGAATGTGGAAGAAGGAGCTAGCTATGCGTTGAGCCCCAGAAACATCGTTCAAAGTAGTTTTTTTTTTTTTTTGGGGGTATGGTTCTTTTCATTTTTCTGATGATTGTTTAACTGTTTCATGATAGTCAGTTGGGACGTTGGTTTGTTTGTTCGCCAAGGAATGTGTATTTTTACTATTTTATTCAACAATCCGTTGCAAAGACAATGTGCTTGTCAAGCCCGCTGGCCTGCTTCATAAGGATGCTGGTGATGCTTGGATCTTCCCGTATTTCCCCACATCTTCGCCAAGATCTCATTGGCCGTTGTAGTTGTCAATTTTAACTGTAAATTCGTTTTTTATTTTAATCTTTATAATAATAAAAAAGAATTACAATGAAGTCCTAACAAAATTATAAAAAATTTACAATAACAAGCAAGAAATTATCATTTCTTATATTGAAACTTATTGTTACTGAGACTTTAGGTTTCATAACAATTATAACACTTCTACTAGTATATATTTGAAGAAAAAAACAGTTATCTTTGATATAAAATAATTAAAAACATATAGAGAATCAAAATTATTTGAGATAGGGAATTTTATATGATTTAAATTGAAAGCATATAATATACTTACAATGATTAAAAGAATAATAAGATTAAGCACAAAGAACGTAGGAATGTCCTGTAAGTTTTTTTTTGGCCACCATGGAGTGTCTTGTAGCAACATGCTCTTCATTATTCTCTCTAAATACATGATAAAAAAATTACTCCTCCGGTCCTAATTATAAGACCCAATTGACTTATTTGAGGAGATTAAGGAAGTAAGTTAAGTTGGTTATTTATAATAAATAAGTGTTGTCATTCCTAAAATATCCTTGCTAATTAAGTATATTGGCTAAAACTATCATTATTAGAAGGATTATCTTGGAAAAAAATACATAAATATAAGAGACAAAATGGATTGGGGTCTTATAATTAGGACCAAATAAAAAGTCAAATGGGGTCTTATAATAAGAACCGGAGGAGTACTATCGATAATCTTATCTAAATTGTTTGGCAAAAGATACACTCAAGGAGTTCATGAACTGCTAAAATCATAACCACAAGCATTTTCTTGATCAAAAGATGACTTTTATCATTCACAATGCACAATTCAAAAAATGCCTGATCACAGTACAGTAAAAACGATGGGTTTAGCTTCATGTGTTCATGTGGCAACTTACAACAAAAATGACCTCATTAATGCCATTCATGAGGCCAAAGAATATTGAATGACTTTGGAACAATATATATATATATATATATATATCTATAAAAACTGGCATTACATAATAGTGTGAGCCTGCCATTTACTGGATTCTGCACCCTTGCTCCTCAGCTCGCAGATATATCAAACCCCGCCTGATCCTCTACGAGGAAACAACCAGAAAATTATGGTTGGAGAATAACAAGCAAGGATATATCAATAATCTGGAGCTAGAGAAAAACAACCAGAAAAATGGAATAAATGAAAAAAAGGGGTATACCTCTTTGGTATCTCTCAAGCGCAGGAGATCAAGTTTTTCTGAAGGCCTCCGGTTTGATAAGGTAGCAAGCTGCAATCAAACGTACATCAGTACAGGGGTCAATGAAAAACAGAATATCAAATTATATATATGCTACCTTTTCTCCTTAATATAAGAGCTCAATAACTAATTTAAATATATTTAAAAAATTAATTAAGTTGATTATTTGTGACAAATGTGTATTGATCTTCTTAAATTATCCTCTTCATCATGTACAATGAATGATTAGAATTATTTCTTGATAAGGGCCCTCTCGCAATCAATAAGAGATATTTAAAAAAAAAAAAAAAAAGACAAAGTGAATTAAAACCTCATATTTAAGACTAAATTTAATTCTCAATTGGCTCTTATATTAAAGACAAGAGGTAGCATATATATTTTATTGCAGAGAAGGCGAAAAGCACCCAGAAACTGAAGCGCTCAGGGTCTTGTGGCGGGGGCATCATCACTTCAACATTCAACAGTCTCTCGAGTCGTCTTTGATCTGCGTGGAATTCTGTAGTTAAATACTGACGCATTCCATTGTAAGGATTAAAAAAGGAAGAGGGCAGGAGAATATTAAATATATTTTAAAATTTCAATCAACACCAAATTTAAGACATCCCTTGGGAATCACAATGCAATTTTACCTTGTCCTGCTGCTTCTTTAGCCCTTCTGATCCATGATCGAGCACTTTCTGCCGCATTATTTGTTATTTCCTGTAACTGGAAAAATAAATTTATAGAGATGAAATTTATCAGAATGAGGGATCCTCCTATACAGGTCACCATCAGACTCGAGAGAGCTTGACCATTTAGTCATAAGCATTGAAAATTTTAAGATTTTATGCAAGGTTCTGCCATCTCTTGATTCCAATACGATACATATCGGGTTCTTGCTTGTTTATATTAACTAGAGACGCTCCCTGTCCCCTCCAAGACCAAGACCGTCGAATTTGGAAATAAAGCACATATTGATGAACCAAGATAATAAGCCCAAAAAATCACATTCAAAATGCTCCCCAGTGCCCAGGTAATGTGACAGCTTTATTTACTTAAAATTACCAGCCTATCGATGAGAAGCCTATCAAAATTGAAGCTTGATATATCTTCAGAAAACAGTACAAAATTCGCCAACATTTCAGAAAGCCTAAAGAAAAATTGGAGACGAGATTCCAGTAAACTTACATCTTCTCTCTCTCTACCTTCCGATGGCATAATATCCTGAATCCATTCGACCTCTGCAACACGATACCTGAGTACAAACATTAGAAAGGCATAAAGGACACGTTCCTATAAGTCCAGAGATCAGCAGCAATATAATTTGTTAAGGACAAAAGCTAATAACAACTTACCCATCTTGATCCCATGATCGGATGATGCGAAATCTCCTACGACTTTCAATCTGCATGCAGGGGCAATTTATACTCATGTACAACTTGAATAAACATCTAAAGAGAAAGTAGAACTTAAGCGAATACAGATCAACATCAGAAGCCTCAGAAGTGTCTTTGAACTAATAACACCAAGCCAGGAGAGTGAAATAGTTAAGCGACACCACCTTGAAACTGAAGTTACTCAACTCACTATTTTTCTGATAAATTATCTTACACTTGGGCAGAAAGCCACAACATAATATTAGAACAAGCAAAATTTCAGTCATCCAGGAGTTTCTGTGAAGATTTGTCAAATATTAATATGACTGATTCTTTCTCGAAGTTGTAAAATCCCAATAGACTGATTAATGCTGTGAAACAAGAATGACGACGACGACAAACCATGTCTATAATTAATGTTATGAAACATTGTTATCTCAGGTTTACGTTGCTGCAGCATATGAGAATGTATAAATAAACACTCGGCCTGTAGTATTAAGTTTCAAAAAACTGTTGCTGAATGTGGTCACCTGTGATTAACCTCCGCCAGCTCAGCCATAACTTATCAAGCATACAAATGCTCTTAAATAGAGAATGAAATACGGCAAGAACCTCTTTCACAAAAGACTAAAGAAAAGTATCTCATTCTCAAAAGTAGAAAGCAGTATAGAAAATTTTACTTCCTTACTTCATCTCACAACATGCTATAAAGCATCATAACAAGAGAAGAGAAATCACAATTATATTTGCACCTCTATATAGAAACGTCCATCCGGAAGTGGTTCACACCTATAAAATCAAATATAAAAATCATTCATTGTAAATAAGCGGCATACATGAGTTTTGTCAGAGTTATGTATCACATGAACTTTTCTGAGGAAACAATAAACCAAGCACCTACTCAGTAATTTCCACTTCACAGGCAAACTCAGCCAGGGAATCTGCTTCAGAATCGATTATAACCTAAACGGTGAATGGACAAACCCCGCGCAGTAAACAAAGGAATTTGGTCAGTCCATTATACCTAAATAAAGAAAAATGGGCAAAAAAGGACCATTGCTGATCTACCATTCCCATCCGACGATTTCCTTCCATTATTCTTCTTACCTGTTTTAGAAAAATGCAGAACAAGTATGATGAAATCATATATAAAATCGAATTCAAAACATTTAATTATCAACACCATTTATCACCAAAAATTGGATTACTTTAAAAATCCACGATAACTGTAATTTACCAATGACCCTCTCCCAGTAGTTCTTTTGTGAAATTGTAAAGAAATTACAAACTTTTCACAGACCATATCATCCATCAATATTCCCCATGGCCAAGTAAAAGGCCTCGTCTAACTCAAAACAATTTTTTCTTTCTGCTACTATAAGCTTTCAAGTTTAGGGAATCACTACTCTATAATTACCCTAACCTGCGTAAATATGCCTAGAATTGAATGTTTAAAACAACAGCAAATGCCTAATTTATTAAGAAATGTATCTTCTGATCTGTTATTTAAATTAGAAAATCGAAGTTCAACTTTTTCTGCTATTGTAAGTTTTCAAGTCCAGTCAGTGCTCTGTATCATTATACGCTAATCAGCATTGCTAAGAAGCATGTCTAGAATTCAACAAGGTAATTAAGTTTAAAAAAACAAGAGTACATTCATAAATCATCAAGAAATATGTCTTCTGATCTGTTATTGTCGCATAAACATCAACATTCTCCTAACTGAAAATTAGCAGGACATCCTCTTGATTAAAAATAGAAAAATGAATTCTTCATTTTTCCTCCTGAATAATAATTTATGCCCCTCCCACTGCTCAAGCAGGCATCACCATAACTTCCCAAGGATATTAGTCATAGAAATATGAACCACTTATTTGACATTCAAGACATATTTAAAATTCAAATTTCCACAACAATCAACAACAATAGACTAACTCACCATCAGTCTATAACGGGGTTCAAATATATGGAGTGGAAACTTTTGGCATGGAATGACAACATCCATGACAAAGAGAGGGATCAAATCTAGGCCCAGGTTGCTCAAACTGTCATTCTCTTGCTTCCTTTCAGCATATTCCTCCGGAAAATTCTTTTGTATAATGTTTTTCAATGTCACACTGGAAAGTTCACAGCAATAATAAAAACAGGGGAAAAAGACTTAGTCCCAGACTTCTTATATCAAATCCACAAAGGGATACTCTTGTAACCCTGTTAATTTATGCTTGGCACAGCTATAGGGGTAAAAAAGACACTCAAAATTTAATGGCCTTCACCACTCACTGAAATAGGTATGTGAAAACTGCTGTGTTCTTCCGTCATTTTGAGTCTAGAGAAAACGCAACATTATTACCATGGAGAAGTTTTGCAAGCAACTTTCCAGCAAAGGAAAAAGGCCACTCAATAAAGTAATTTCTTACATATATGCTGTACAGGCCTAAAAATATGGAAGTTTGAATCATTGAATGCCTGCCCTACTTGACTACTCCCACGTTTGATGAGAAGGAAATAAAAAGACGGGAATCCAGGGCCTTTATGTGGTTTGATGAATTGGTATAAGCATTTAAAGTCACGATCTCTACTAGATGACCCACCTCACGGAACATGTTCTAGGACTAATAAACAGAACTGTCCTGCACAACGGGCACCTGTTGCCTAACAAATTAAGACAAAAGTTAACAGATTTAATATGTAGTTAATATATAATACGGGCTCCCACTTCAAACAAATCAACATCAGAAAGTACCAACCACGATCCATTGACTGAAATAGACATGACCGGCAAAAAGAATGTCCACAAGGGGTTGTAACAGGTTCATAAAGCAACTTGAGGCAAAGAGTGCAATCAAAGTCATCAGAGCGCTCTGGCTGTCCATGTTTACTCATCCTCGCCAAGCTAGCCAATGCTCTTTCCAGGTTTGAAAGAGACACCCGTAGAGAATTACTACATTACACCAGAAAAGAATCAAATGGCAGACATAGATGACACATATAGTTCAGTAGATGACTGTTGCAAAGGCTAAAGGCTCTATCTGAATCTCCATAATATTTTCAAAAGGAAAATGCAGAACAGAAATTAAAAGGATCCCAAATCTGTAGTACCTATATGGATCAACTTGAAGGCCCGAAAGAATAACATCCCGAGCCATCTCATATTTCTCCAGCTGTCAACTCAAAGCAGCACAACGTCAATGTGACATCATTGATATGGCATATATATAAAAATGACTATGGACAAAGAAGCATGGTGAAATAGTCTCTTGTGAATCACTCAGTGCTATATAAGAAACATCTTTGGTACCAACTGGCGTTACAGCAGTATTAAATTTGTCATGTACTGATCTCTGCATAATGAAACCATAGGAGATCTGCAAACAATAGTTTACCATGCAAAAAAGGGACCACATTTTTTTATTAAAAAAAAAATTTAAGAGCACCCCACAGAACCATTTTGTTTCACAGTGCCTCTCCAATAAAAGAAGCAAACAAACAATGCCTATAACATTTTCCCATTGTCAAAAACTGATTACTCTTGAATCACTATAATAGCACTTATGGACAACCCTACATTTTCAATTCATTCAAGATTCAGTAGTGCCTTTTTATACAGCTAGCTCAGCACAACTAAGAAACTATTCCATCCCAAGAAACAAATATCCTAAAATGGGAAAACAAGCAACTGCCACCTGATAGAAAGAAGCATGCATCCACATGATTGCCTCAATAAATGACAGGAATTCCCATAAACTATAACGAAGATTAACTACAAGGGAGACTTTACCAGAAAAAGAGCATTGGCCTTCAAAAGGTATGATTTTACTGAAGTACTTCGGATGTTGACAAGCTTCTCAGCATCCTTCAAACCAAGCTGAAATGGTTGCCAGCTGTTAACTTCTAAGTAAAAATCAATTTATAAACTCAAAATTTTCAGCATGATAAAGACAGTGCATCAAAGTATACTTCAGCATGTGTTGTAGGATCAAGCCCACTCAACGGACTATATTCTGAAGCTGATGGAGGTCTGTGTTTTAAAAATTGGCTAATTCTGTACAAGAGAGGAAAAATTATCATTGACATAAGATCACTGAAGCCAACAAAATTCAAGCAAAATTTTTCCACAACAAAAACAAATTTTTATTAAGTATTTAAAAGCCACAAGGTTATTTATGCTTAACCTGATATAAGCCGCACTTCGGTTATTGAGTATGACTGGATCACCAGTCCTGATGCTATTTGCTCTAGAGTAAAAGTTGATCGCCTGAACGGATAGTCTCAGAGGTCAGCACCGGAACGACATTTTACAAAGCATTATAAATATTTTAATTGATAATGAATCACTTTCAATATCATATGTTATCCTCTTTAAAACACATGAGAAATGCATTCTTTCCTCGCAATGTTACAACTAAAACTTCTTCAGAAAGAAGACCACATGTCGTAGGTAACAAAAGAGAAGGACCAGAGAAAAATGCCACATAACTCTAGCATAAGCATAACTTAACTAACACCACATTGAGCATCCCACACTAACCATGCAGTGAAATGCCAATCAATAATTTGTCAAGATAATGCCTTGCTTATATTTTGAAAGGCTTGTCACAAAGAATTGGCCTTTCAAAAAACAGACCAGAAAAAGATACAATGATCGAACTCTGTAAAGGTTATCAAACAAAAAAGAAAGCAATGAAGACATATTTGGAGCTGCGTAGAGATTTTCTCAAATTTTAGCTAAAGCCTAATATTAGCATGCATCCGATATATAACCACAAGAATATAATGGAATGTGTTAACAAGTGAACTACGGACAAACAGATAATGTGAATGAGGAAGGGTGGGGGAAAATGAAAAAGATTCCAATCTATGTAGTTACATGAAGAAAAATAGTGGCTAGATGGTGGAGAACAAGAACCATTCTTCTATTATTTCCCATGCAAATGAGACCTTCACAATAATGTCAAGACCACAGTCAACTGCCAATATAAATCTTTCCAAATTTCTCCACATAAAGCAACAATAATTGGATTAACAGTCTCATTCGGACAGGCTAACCCCATTACATAACTCAAGTTTAATTTTTTCATCACTGAAATTCATGATAATTTGTTTTAATTCAATTTCTGTTTCATAGGCCAATGGAGGCGCTAGTGAGAATGGTAGATCGGACAGGAGTCCTATGAAAAAGGGCAAAGGAAAACCGATGAGAACGTTCAATGAGGTCATTGAACAAGACCTCAAGATCAACAACATATCCAAAAACTTAGTTGTTGATAAAGCATAATGATATCGTGCAATTCATGTAGCCTTATCCCACCATATAGCCTACCCCACCTAGTGATATAAGACTTGTTGTTGTTGCAATTTCTGTTTCAGTTTCCCTTACAGGTGACACATATATATCTATTTCAACTTCAACACAAAGTTAAGAAATACAAAAGACAAGTGATTAATATATATCGAGACACTATATTTGAATGAATAGTCAAAGAAATAAGTGAAGTTGTCCAAACATCAAAGATTAAGTACAAGCATCACCTCTTCCATACGGTCATCCCGAAATGCCACATTGCCATTCTGCATAAGCTCATATAAATGATGGTATGTTTCCCTTGCCAAACCCTCCGGTTCAGATGCCTGAAATCTGACTTAAGCTCAGTCTTTTGGTGCATTTGATTTGTCAGTATGAAATTAATAAAAATCACGAATTATTGATATGCAGGGGGGCAAATGATTAGATTCTGTTTTCTGAATACCTGTATTAACTTGGGATTGACAGTAAGAAGAAAAATAAAACACTTAAGTCCCCACTTTTCAATACATGAACAGATGAATACTATACTGCGCCTATGCCAAATAGAGAAGAATCTTGCCAATGCCAAGTGCACAGGCCAACAGATATATTTCCAGCTTCTCCGTTTCTTATGGAAGTTTGAAAACAGCTGACACTAAGCAGTCAGTATTATTCAATCAGCAAAACGAAGCATTTACTAAAAACCATAACGTATATTAATCCTGGAGCAGCGCACATGAAACCTTAATTATGATTCCTTTAATAGAAAAATGGCGCAAAAAAGGCCCTCATTTTCAATTGTTTTTTTCTTGTCCTCGGATTTCTCAACGCCTAATAAATAGTAACTGCTAACAGGAAAGGGAAAGAACGGTAACAAGAGAACTTGTCTTTTTAGCACATTCTTCTCAGTAAACTGACCAAAATAAAGGAAGCTATTAAAAGGCATTGACTTGAAGGAAAAATCCGCGCAAAGATGTTGGGTAAGAACAAATATTATGCGCGATCTTTGGATACTGGAAAGTGGAAGCCTTTCAATTGTTCATTTTTATATCTCAATTCCAACAACCAGAAAAACCATCTACGCGAAGCAGAACCCCTATAATACAATTACAATATTTGGTCAGTGGACTTGAAAGATTTCAGAGGTTCAAAAAGGGGAAAATGGTTCGGTCAAAAAAAAAAAAGGAAAAGAAAGGAAAAACGGAACCTAAACTTTCAAAACCCGATAATTCTAATCACATTTTTTGGGCCATGAACTGTAATCACATGTTTAGAGAAAAACAAGAACCCCCACTTTTTCTTTTCTTTCTTTCTTTCTTTTCTGTGATTGAAACCTCCACTTCTTTAGTTTCAATCTATCATATGCCGAACAACGTCTCAAAAGAGCATTCAAATAATGCACATACAAAATCAATTACAGTCCATGAAATTTCTCTCCATTTTTTTTTTAATGATTGAAATATTCCCTGCAACATTTCATCAGCGCATAAAAAACCTCTCAAAAGGGAGAAGAACTGACCGAAACGTAGTCTTCCACATCGTCAAGACCCTCCATGCTCAATACAGTAGGAGACGAAGGCGATTCCTCCTCCGCCATTCAAGGAAGATCAAAGGGCGCACAGGCGCGCCCGCACTTAGTAGCTCTGCAGTAGATGAAGATTCCTGACTAGCGAAGACAGCTGAAAGAATGAAACTTTGAAGGTCTCGGCAAGAGGGTAAGGATGAAAAGAAAAAGCATCGGTGTTCAGCCCTGTGTCCTTCGTTTCATACACGGACCAAATTCCACCAAGTCTTCCCACTCTCTCTCTCCCTGTCTATCGGTCGTTCTATCTATCGCTATAACTCCACGTCTCAATCTTCTACGTCCAAAAGTAGGTTCAATTAATGCATCAGATAGAAATGATACTAGAGAAAGGGAGCAAAAATGCAAAATTAATCACACTGGCATTTTGTGAACGAGCTTTTCGCTCCCTTGAGCGATGCGAATTACGGACTCGACGAGTCGACCATGGGGGACAAGGCAACGGTTGACTGTTAATAGCTCCATGGTTAGATGGTGTGCCCGGACACTCAAGCCACTAGAATTGCTTATTTTCAGTCAAGTGGTACGCGTGTAAGGTCTTCATTTGATAGAAATCTGGAGTACGTCTTCTCACTTTTCAGAGTCATGCTCATTTCACCCTTTGCGAGGTCTTGCCGCGAAGCGTTTTTTTTTTGGCCAGACTCGAAGCGTTTATAATTTACGCAATTTTTTTCAGAGAACAATGAGACGCCAAAGTGTCAAAATGGCAAAATCGTTTCAAAACTCTTGGTATCTTCAGGATACTTTTTGGGTCATTTTCAAGTTTATTTTCATGTAGATTTTGAGATTTTATTGAATGATTGTTTAAAGAAGGAATTCAGAAAATTAAAAAAATTAATTAAAAAATTTGCTACGTTTGATTGTTGAATTCTTGAATTTCCAGACATCTTATGACAATCATCAATCATGGTAAAACAACTACTAATTGAAAACCTTGTACTCCTCCGGTCTTTAATATAGGACCCAATTATTGAGTTGGTTTTAGTTCTAAATATAAGACCCATTTCTCATATTTATCAATTTTCTATAAATTACCCCTATGGATACTCCATCAACCATAATCAAGTAGAAGATAGAGAGGGGTATTAAGAAAGATGATTATGGTATTTTAGAAAAAACATGTCACAATTTTTGTAATTAACTAACTTACCTAACTTTTTTAATCTAATCAAATTAGTTAAATAGGTCCTATTAAGGACCGGAGGAGTAATATATTATCTATCATGCATAAAACTTCAATAAATCATTCACAACATAAGACCTGTTTAGGATAGCATTTATATAAGTCGAGACAAAACTCTACTCATTTACTTATTTCGTAATCTATAAATCACGATTGAAAAGTTACTTATAAATTATTTTCAGAATTTATTTTTCATATTTTAAGCAATCGACTCTTTTTTTTTTTTTTTGGTAAGAGTTTGGGTGTACTAGTGATAGTTAGATTATGGGTTATCTTTCTCCGAAATTTTATTTGGGTTTCTATCTAATAAGTAATAAGTAAGATAAGATTATAATACTACATCCGATTCTTAATATAAGAGCTAGTTAATTAATTTAAGTAAATTAAAAAGATTAGCTGAGTTAATTATCTGTAATAAATATATGATTTTTTTAAAAATATTTTTGTTAATCGTGTGTATTAGCTAAAACTACCATGTAATAAAACATTTCACATGTACAACTACTACAAATATTATCTTTAAAAAATGAAAATATATGAGAGATAAAGTATATTAGAATCTTATATTTAGAATTAAATTGAAAGTCAAACTAATTTTTATTTTAAAAAATAGAGGTAGTATGAGTTATTCTCATAAACTAGGACATTTATAAGCTGACTTGATAGAGTTGCTGGGGCGAATGTAATTCACATGGCACCTCGACCTCTAGCCCCCTTAAAAAGATCAAAATGATAATATATTAAAAATGAAAGAGTACAAAGTAAACTTAATAAGACAACACTTAGAGAATTCAAACATGCAAGTGGAAAAACTCTTACTAAAACCTGTTCTAAAAAACAAAAGAATTAACGAAGTGAGGTTATTTGATTCATCCGATGTTCGCCAATGGAGATTGATCCTCTGTTGCAGTAACCAAAAGGTGGAGTGAGGGTGATGTATGTGAGAGTAAGAATGAATGAATAATCCAATACAGACTAGCTCTCAGAGAATCTTCTTGGCGTCATTTATTCCATATAAAGTGCTGAATGGCTTGACCTGGAAAGCATATTCAAACATGGTAAAAAGGAGTCTCCCTATCTTCAACTCATGACTATGAAGGATAACACTCCAACCAGTCTAATATTTTTATTTTTGGATGATGAATATGATGACTGAGACCTGAATTTATGCTATCCAATTTTGACTTTGAGACTCACCTTATACTATCTCCGATTTTTCAATATAATAACTAATAACTAGTTTAATATTTAATTTTGGTCATAAATATAAGATCTTTATGTATTTTGTCTCTTCTATTTATTCACCTTTTCCCAATATAGTTATTGTAATAGTTATACATGTTAAAAATTTTATCAAATAGTAGTTCTAACTATTACATATGATTAGTAACGGTATTTTAGGAAATACATCTATTTATTATAAAAAACTAACTTAATTAATTTTCTTAATCTACTCAAATTAGTCAACTAACTCTTATATTAAGTATTTTTCACAACAAGAATTTTTTTTAAATAAAATTTCCAAAAATACCTGGATTTGTATCATCTAATTCAAACTTTAAAATACTTTAATTGATTACTGAGACCTTTTTTGTTGAGAGTCTGGATGTGTGTTGCAGTAACAACTGGAATTTTTAATCTCATCCTAAAATATTCGGACTTTGGGCCTGACTATGGGCCCAACCATGACTGACAGTTTAAGACTAATTTCCCATTTCCCCCTATTTTCCACGCATACCATTTTGTCCTTGATATAAAAATAAAATTACAGTTTTGTCCCATTTGACCCAGAACAGGGAATGAGAACTCGGAGAAGGGTCAAGATGGTATCAACATTTTCATGGAAAAGGGAAAGCCATAGCCCATAGGTGCGAAGCTCAAAAGCTCCCAAATTGAGTGGTTGTGCTGGTGGTGTAGTAATGGAGGATGACCGTCAATGGGATGGTTCAGAGAAGTCGGAGCAAGCCTTAACCTCAAATCTCCATTACCTCCACTCATCAAAACTCCAACAAACCCAGTTGCGAGATTGTTCAATGGTGGTTATCAGAGACATCCGGCAACACAATGACTGCTCCGTCTTCCCGCCAGTTAACCATGAAAACCTGCACATTTCTTCATTGTCACACCAGTGTGACGACATTTCGATATCACCTTCGCCGTCCTCCATTTCTTCCTCTTCCTTTTCTCGTTCGGAATCTTCGTTTTCACCCTCCGATACTGATGCTTGTGGCATATCATCATCATTACCGTCTGATTCACCGGTAGAGAAAATTGATGGGTTTAATGGGTGGATGAGAATTGGCCTGAAGACCTTACGCGGGAAGCTTTTCGCGATGATTAATTCGTATCGAAATTTTGCTTCCAACAGAAGTGTCATCTTGTCAATTGGGCCGGCGGTTTCTACGGTAATATTGGCGTGGTGGATATGCATACGGCTTTGGTGTTGGCTGAAGGAGAGGAGGAGGAGGCGCAAGCAGCGTGAAAATCACCTGATGACCATCATTAAAGAGAAAGACGAGGTTTGTTAAGTTTTGATATATTTTTACTTGTATTTCAACAGTTGTAATGGTCAAGTTGCATTTATTTGATTGAGTTTGGCTGTTTGTGGAAATTCTAACTGCAGACCATTATGTGTGATCGACCCCCTAATTCTGCTCAAAATGTTGGATTTCTGTTGTTGTAGTAGTATTAATGGCGGAATTTGCATGTGAAAAACTTATTTTCCCCTGATGTGATCCTAAATATCCATTAGTTAGCACATGATTTTGAATATTTGCGGCTAAGTTTTGGTGCATGCTCTCTCCATCCTCTCACAAACAATACTTTATAATAATCGGGAAAAAAAAAGGGTTAAAGAGCGTGCAGAGAGGATGCACTAAAAGTTACAGTAATTGGAAAAACAAAAGTTAAAGAGGGCGTAGAGAGGATGCACTGAAAGTAAAGATTCAAAATCCGCTAGCAGAAATGAATCGAGCAGGAAAAAGGCTACAAATGGTGGTTATCCATCATGTACCTCGTTTTGGGTTTTAATGGATTCTGTCTAAAAATTTTCCCCTTCTTCTAGTTCTTATTAGTGGTATTAGAACTGGCCTTCCTTGGCCATGTCAGAGGCCACTCAATTGCAATCAACTGATGGATGACTAGTTGTCTGTATTATTGTCTACAAATGAACAAGTTGCTGGCTTAGAAAACTAATTCTATGGGGTTTTCCTTCAGCAAACTGAACCCTCAAGGCAATTCAAATCCAAGGATATGTGACAAGAAACAGTATAACTTCACCAAATAATGAGAATCATCAAATATCACGAGGTGGAATGAGTTGACGCAATTGAAGCAGAAGAGAAGTGCGATGGAATATCAAAATGTGTTTGAAAGTTTGACTGTAAATAAATTTGGCTATTACTCGGCTGGACTGAAGGAAGAGATTGCCTTTAGGGAACATTTTTTGAACCTTCTACCTTGCTCCGTGCCTTGCAACTGGCCAAATTACTATTCCTCTAGTCTTTAATGTAAAACTTGATTAACTAATTTGAGTAGATTAAGGAAGTTAATTAAATTAGTTAATATGATATGTTTTTTCTAACACATTCTAAGCATCTTTTTCAATTCTTTCTCTCTCTGTTCTACTTGATCATTATTGAGGAAATATCAATAGGGTTAATTTGGGAAAAAAATTAATAAACATGCGAAATAGGTCTTATATATATGACCAACATTAAATCCCCAATTAGTTTCTATATTGAGGACAGAGGAGTACTATAAATATTTGGAGTTTCTCAATATAAGAGTGAACAATGGAGGGGGTTTTGGAAATCCTAAGACAAGTGGAACGTTGGATTCAAAAGTTCGTCCCCATATTTGCAGCTTTATATGTTAAGGGAGATGATGATACAGTGGGCAATAGCATAAGAGAGATTCAACCTGCTGCTCCTTCAGAAATGTATAGTGTTTTGTATAAAAATTCTCAAAAACGGGGATCCAATTCTCTCAGGCATTAATTGTATGGATTAGGTGAAGTGTTTCATTCTTTTCAACTGTATGCTGACCAATTTGGATGACGTGCCTGTTTTCTTTTCCTTGTGAATTCTCGGTCCTAGCTTTGAAAGATTGGTAGGATTGACAGAGAACCTTTTGGTGTTTGTCCACTAATGAAATTGGGAAGAATTTAACACCAAAGTAATTGGGAAGAATTTAAGACTAAAGTAATTGGGAAGAATGACTTTAGGAGCGGATTGGATTATATAGACTTGTTGATTTGAAGTTGGATTTCCAAAAACCAGTGGCAATGATGAACGAGGTTGTGCCTTGGTTGCAGAAAATCGATTCCATCTAGTGCTAGATGCTGGGTAATTCAGATCAAATCAGAATTTTGTTCTCACTTTGACCCTTGGGTTCAAGATTCTCTTTTGAGAGTAGTTCTGATGCTATCCTGAATATGCATTAGCTAGTTAATGAGGTGGTTAAGCAGTCAGTGGGCTGGCATAATTGGATCGGTTGGGAAGAAGGTTATACAGTGTTGATATGCTGAATACCTTTTCTTGTTGAATCGTAATGGAATTTGTCTATAAACCTTCTTTTACTTCTCTGTTTTCTTTGTATTTCATTTCCAGCTCTTATCATATGCTTGTGTCAGTGTGGCGTATGGATTGAATGGTAATGAGCCTTTTGCTTGCTGGCTTAACTAAACCCCATTGCTGGCATATGTTTGACTAATGGATGCATGTTGATTTGCGTCATTTGTGAGGAACTCGACTATTAACTGAGGGTGAACTTTTTTTAACTATTAAAAACTTTTATGAGATTCTTGATCTAAATTTTTTGAAATTGGAGAGTAAAAATCTTGAAGCAGTTCTAATGGTGAGAAAGCTCAACCTCTTGAGATGTACAGAGAACTTAATGGAAGTACCGTTTGTTTTATTGCCAATTCAGTGGTTTGCTTCTTTGCTATCCTCTTAACTTCAAATTCTGATATTTCCAGAGAATCGCTCAACTCTTGGAGCGAATTATGCAAATGAATGAAATACTTATAGATCGTCACAAAGCTTTGGCAGCCAAATTGGCAGAATGATTTGCTCATGGTGCGGAATATGGTAGCTATGGTAAGTCACAAACTCATACAACAGGACTTCGATGTAGACTGACGGCTATACTTGATCGTTATTAATTTTAAATCCCATGACTGATACACAGTTTTCGTGTGTCTTTGACAGGTTTTAATGTAAAAACAATCTCATGGTGATCATTCGCACTGCTATCGCAGAGTGTCTGAACAGGTACTAGAGTGCAGCATCTCGACCGTAATGTAAGAAAACAAAAAACGCCTGACGAAGGAACCGTCATCTCCTGTTGTACTATTAATCCGGTCAAAATAGGAAGAAGTTATTCAACTCCTCCAGAATGATTGGTTCAGCAAGGAACCACCAAATTTTTGTAGGAAAGCCAGCAGAGCTCTCTCATATTGTACCTGCTGTTATTTTACAATACTAGATGTAGGTTTTGTGTGCACATGGAATTTGATGTAAGCTGCATTTTATATATATTTATATATATATATTTTATTGCCTTTGTTCAAGCTTTTTTTTTTTTGGCTAAAGCATAGATATCTTCAATAGAAGGTAATCATATTCAAGGCACTATCGGGCATTAAACGTAGACATCTTTCTCAGCAGGGATTTAAATTTTGGTTCGTCTTGTTGTAAGAGACTAACTCTTTCTACTAGACTCTATTCTTGTTAATCTTTTGTTCAAGCCTTTTATATCTACTATGAGTGACTTCAATTTCCTATTTCTCATAAACATACATGATTTGATGATTCTATCCCAACTCATAGTGGCATGTCACTCAGACCAAATTTTGCTTACATGAAGGTGAAAGGGATGTCATATGCGATGAGATAACATTTCTTTATAAGAGGCGTGTCCAATATAGACCGATCTCAAGGAACCTTTTGAACACCCTCCGGCCTCCGGCTCCATGCAAAAGTCACTAGTTTGGAGTTAATCAAGTGCACCGAAACATTCATGCAATTTTTAACTATGAACGTCTGCATATGAATTTTCCTTCCCTACCCGCAAAAGACTAAACAAACAAGAAAGCAGAAATCCATCACCAACAAAGAAGGATGAGAGGAAAAAAGAAAAGAAAAAGTACTCGTGAGTCGTAACTTGTTATGTGCGGCATGTATAATGGATAAACAACCACTGGAACTATCAATCTACCATCAACAATAACAAAGTACAAGTAACAGCAGATTCCCTGAAAAGGCAACGTCCAAGTCCGTTCGTGGGGTATGGAGAGTTGCTTTGATTCATTTTTATTTTTCTTCACTTTTACTGGTACAGATCTGATATAGCACATTTGCCTGCAAAAAATGAAAAGAAAATTATAAACATATAACTAAAAAGGCCTACTCCGTATCTCTCCATTTGTTGTTGTTGTTGAAATCTAAATCCTTTCCAACATGTCACCAATACTGCGAGTAGTGTTTCTTAACTTTCTTTTGAGACCAACCGTGCATGTTAGAAGTTGCGCGAAAAGAACCATCACAGCAATTTTTTCCTTTGAAAAACCAGCGAACCATAACAGCAATTACACCATCGTATTTAGCGAGATATGATATTTCATAAGGTCTCCAATGAAAAATGATATGCATTAGAAACCAATAGGAAGAGTGTCCGCATATCTGTATTAAGTTCCATTAAGTAGGACGGTTGATAGTTACATGCAACATCATGCGAAATTGAACTGTTGTTCAACTGGAGAAGGAAGAGCTTAAAAGTGAAACAAGTCAACCACACAGATTAGAGGTTCAATATATTATCAGGGGTTAAAGTCAATGCATACCTTGACCAATTCATTGTTTCCCTAATTGAATGATACTATCTCTCGTCAATTAAATAATTCAGAAAAATTTAAAAAATTAAATTAATTACTTAAAAAAAATTATATTTACCATTTTTCTCCGTACCAATTTACATAATCTGATATATAATTTTATATTAAAAACCGAAGGTAGTAAACAAATCATGTCTTTTTTAATGCATTATATGTATTCATAAATTAAAAAGGCCAGTTCCTTAATTTCAGTATCACTATTCGGCTCAGCTCCCCGGATCACAAATCCAAAACTCACGATGCAAAAGAAATTTGAATTGATCAAGATATTTTAAGAACTGCTTCTTTCTAGTCATATACAGAAATTCAAGCATCAAAAGGACTCACTTGTTGGTATTGATTTGAGATTAGTACTTCATACCGGCTTCATGGAAAATTAGTCATTTCCTTTTCTTTCCATGGAAAATTACAATCAAGGTATGCTTGTCAAACAAAAAAGAAGAAAGAACTACTATTATAACATGTTACAACAAAACTCAATAAGTTACAAGTTCATGAATTCATGCCTCCTGGAAGAGAGAATATAGAAGAATGTCAGTATACAGCAGAAAAAGTAATTTGGCAACTAATTACTCAGACATAGAAGAAAGAACAAGATGTCTCGACTTATGAAAGAATTCTATCTGGAAGTTTTCAGAAATGAACCAAGACAACTAGCAAACAAAACTTACACGTGAAGGTATCATGATATCAGATCAAATTCCAACTATAATGGTTGTTCAATCACCCTAGAACATGTTTGTCGCCTCACTAGCTTTTTGTTTCACTGCTACCCGATGGCCTTCTCCTTATATCAAACAGGTCAACAAACTCCAAAGGAGTAGCGGTCTCATTTCTGATTCTCTTAATCTTAGGGCTCAAAAGACCGCGATGCCTAAACCCATAGAGCTTGAGCACCTGATTATCCGCAAAATTGTAAGCCCTCTCCATGCTACGGAGGCACCTCTCAACAGGATAATCTCCGTAGCTCCCACAAGGCTTGCAGCCCACAAAATGGGTGACAAATGGCCATCTCTCATCACCTAATCCTGGATGATACTTCTCCACCATCTCTTCATAGCGATCAACCAATCCTGCCCAGTAGCCATGCAAATAATATGAATTCTCAAGAAAAACCTTATCCATCCATTCATCCTTCTCTGACAACAAAAGATATATCAATGCTGATTGATCGTCTGCCTCAAATGCTGGCCTCCCCTTCAGATTTGCAGTCAAAATCTTCCCTGCCTCTTCTCTAATGGGACCCTTTGGACCCATTGGAGCCCACGCATCAAGCAAATCCAAAGACCATTGGCAGTTCCTAAACAGAAAGCTTCCTGTATTCACAGCAATCCATGACTTCTGGTCGAATAACAGATCAGGGTACCCATGAAGAACCAAGTTATACTTATCATACTTCGATAGGGGAAGCTCAAAGACCATATCAGTAAAGAACGCGTCACTATCCATCCACCAAATCCACTCTATCTCCGGATGTGACAACATCAACCGACGAATCATAGGCAACTTTGCCCAATACCCAGCAAGTTCCTTATCCAGATGAGACAAATTATACACAATCTCAATCCCGTGTAATCTACAGTAATCAATCTTATTCTTTATCGACTTCAGTAAGTAATGATCCCCAATTGGGTTATCACAAGGTTTCGGAGGTGAGCCAGTTAGAAGCAGGATTCGAGCTTTACCTTTGACGAAATTTGGGAACTCAGGATTCTGATCCAGCCAAGCCCTCCGCTCCTGGTCCCAATCGGTGATCTTCGGCCCAAGAGTGAATGTGATATTCGGATTCAACTCGGTCTCAACAGGCTCGTCGGGATCAGAGGGATCACTGTCGGATCTAATCTCCGCGAGAATCCGATTGGTCTCTTCAATGAGGTTCTGGTTGACGGCATCGACGTCAGAGCTTCCAAAATTAACCCCAATTGTACCGCGAAGGACGAGGATGGTGACGAAGCCACAAAGGATAGTTATCTTAATATTGTTAAAAGTCTTGTGGATCTGACGGCCACGAGGTAAGCCGGCAAGAGCACGGCCTCTGCCATTAGGAACGGTGGTAGTAGTGGGCAATCCCACTGAATGAGTTCTCTTCTGAGCGGAAAGACCCTCTTGCCCCATCGTAATCTTCTGTTCTCTACGAACCCCTCAGTGCCTGAGCGGACTAACTACGAACAGACAAACGAGAAGATTCAGGGGTTCGTGAAATTTCAAGAATTAAGTAAAAGGGTGATTTGAAAATGCATAATTTTTGGAAATCGAAGAGGAAGATAGGGATATCCTGGAGTCTGTTTGGGCAGGAAGAAAATTAATGAAAGAAAACGAAAATGTAAACCCTAGGTGTGGAGAGAAAGATGGAAGCGGAGGAGCTTGGACATGGTGGCGGAAAACTAGCATGAGAAAAGGAAGTCAGTCTGGTTTTTCAGAGGAAGAGGGAACGGCCTGTCTTACCGTCTCGGGAAGCGGACATAGACGTGTCCATCACTTTTTCCTGTATATATAAACAACTTATGTTTAGAACCGGATGAGTAATTAATTAGTCCGGTCTCCTATTCACTTCATCATCATCTGTTTGGGTCCTTCCTTGCGTTCGGTTTGTGCTCGCGTGTGCATGTAAAGAAATAGGAGAAAATCCACTCATTGATGAAATAGAATGGTAGTTATTTATTTGGCACAAAGAACTGGTTAAATTTTTGTCTTTTTTAGCAAGTTTTATTTTATCCTGTTATAGCGTTATTAATATTTACCTAATTTATGGTATTTTTGTTTTTATTTTAAACGAACTATGTTGGTCGGAGCACTTCATATGTAAGAAAATAGGGGGGGGGCAAAAAAGAAATGGAATTATCATACAAATGAAACATGATTTATGGGATAGCAGATGACCCTAAACAAATAAGAAAATGTTGATTTGCTAAAACACACGTATATATTTGGAGTTATATTATCATTATTATTTTATTGCGTTAAAAATTACCTTAGCTGGATTACAAATTTTTTTATCTGTGTGGTTGCATGATGGAAAATAATAGAGATAATATTTTTACAATATTTATTGATTATTAATGATAAATTATTATTGAGTCACGATTACAAGTGTAGTTTTTCTGGATCTAATAATTAGAATATTGATTTTAATCAATTAGATGAATTTAGGAATTTCTGCTTATGAAAGGAATTTAATGAAATCCTAGAACCTCAAAATCATGATTCCAAGAATTTGACCAAGGTGAATCATGTCTCTCTCGTACAGTTTCAATTAGTTAAACGTTGAAAATGATATCAGCATTAAGATAACGCGGTGTCACCGGCCAAGTTCCAAGATGAAATTCCAACTCAAATCCGACATTGAACTGATAAAACACGGTGTCACCGGTCAACGTTGAAACTGAATAATGGGCTGTTCAACTGAAATAACGCATTATCAAGCAAAGATAGAACATGAACATATATTATCAAGGAAGGCATAAGATCCAACAACAAATAGGCATACAATTCAATAAAAGTAGGATCCCACTGTATTATAATCTATTTAATGATAATTAAATTGCAGCAATGATCCCAAGTGTAACTAGGACTTCATACCAATTAAGTAGTACTATGATTTCTTTTTCTTCTTTTTCTTCATACTCCTTTGTTTCCCCAAACGTTTTGTAGTTCTAGCTTTCTTTGGAGGCTTAGCTTTTGAGCTGTCCAAGAGGATAATTTTTTCTGGCCTCGTGGGTTTGAAAACTTCTGTTACTGAAGGATCCAAAACATCCTCCGAGCACTGAAGAGCGATGCCCATGCGTATAGCTTCATCCCAAAGCTCCCTTCCTTTCTCAAATTGTCCTCCTCTACAAAGCTTTGGAATGAGCACATCATAAACAGGTCCATAACCGCCCGATGAGCTTCTCTTCATTATTTCAAACAATTCAAGAGCATAATTAACCCTCTCAACTCCGCAAAGAATGCCAATCAAACTGTAATAGAACTTGCAGTTTGGTACTAAGCCTTCGCTGATCATCTGATCCACTATTGCTCTTCCCTTGCCAAATCTCCCACTCAGAAACAACACCTTAGCCACAAGATAATAGCTAACCCAATCTGGAGCACACCCAGAAGTTTTCATCGTTTCAAGAATTCGACACGATTCCTTGACTCTTCTAGCCCTCCCCAAGCAAGAAAGCACTATGTTGTAACTAATTGAGGTCATGGAAATCTTGTAAGATCTCATCTCCATCATCACATTCAAAGCTTCAGGTACAAGTCCTGAAGGATTATGCCTCAGGTTGCGCTCAGAAAGGCACCTGAGAAATGTGTTGTAACAAAACAAATCTGGGATAAACCCATCTGACTTCATCTGTTGGATAACTTTTCGAGCTTCCTTCACATTCCTCTGCACAGACCAACCATGAAGAAGACTTCGATAAATGCAAGGCATTACACCTGCGATCTTGTCTTTGTGATGCAAAATTACACCTTCGGCCTTCTTAGCATGCCCTTTGGAGCAAAGGGCACTGACGATAGCAGTGACTGTGAATTCATCCTGAGGACACTTGTGCTTGTCCAAGTTCTTGAAAATACCCAATGCCTCATCTTCTTTTCCCAATTTAACCAAAGTCTCAGCCACAAGACCAAAAGTATGAGCATCCATGACTCGACCCTCCTTCTTAAGATCCCCAACCAAGATACCCATTGCTATGTGGTCTTTCTTTTCAGCGAAAAGTCTAAGAGCATAGTTATAGTCCCTGTCTTCCAAATTGCAATTCAAATTCTTGCTAGACCATAAGAAAAACCTAAGCAGTCTTCTGGTTTGTGCCTCATATTTACAATCCTCAATAGTCTGAGCAACAAGAGACGAAGTTAAAGAATCCTTAAACTTATTCAGACTCAATTCCAGGTCATCCAGTCCACCACTATTTGACATTATAATGCTGCGGAGCTCTCGCCACTGAGGCGGTGCAGATACAGGCTGCAAAGTAGAGCAGAGAGAGATTGAAAGTAGTCTGGAATTCTGTACATTCATTCTGTGAAGTGTAAAGCGTTTCAAGGCAGAGTTCAGCACGACATGCATCTTTGATTTCATTTGAGAATATCAACAAACAGTTTGCGCGCATCTCCTGGTTGCGAGGACTAGTGAAGAGAAAAGAAGAAGTTACCATAGTTCAATGAATCTTGGAAAGAGAAACACACACACACACACACACACACACACACACACACAGGGAGCGCATAATTGAAAGAGGGTTTCGTCCTGCACCACAAAGTTTTCATAGCAGTCATGGCAGCCGGTATGAAACAGAAGTGAGACCTAGCAGAGTACCCAATACAGAGAAGACAAGAACGAAGAGACGCGCACTACAGGGTTCAAAATGCAAGTGAGTAATGGGCCAAGACATGGCAGGCAACAAAAAGTCAACAAAAGATCTATATATTCGGATGTGATCGACATCGACTGATCGTGTGGGGGTTGTCGGTGGAATGTAGCTATGCCTATAAAGAGCCGCAAAAAGTGAGGGAAAATATGTATGGTATATTAATTAATAAAATATTAATCCGGTACACTTCTGCCTCGCTTCATGGAATCTCTGAGCTGCTAAGCCCAAGCTCAGCGCAACAAGCTCCAGTAACTTCTATGCCAACTTGTCCATTTCACGACCATACTCTTCCAATGTCTCCCTATATATACACAATTTTATACTGGTAGTTATTAAGAAAATGAAAATGAAAATCTGTGTAAAGTTTTCTGAGATAATACTGTTAACATTACCAGAATTCAGGTGGGTATTGGGGCAATCGAATGGTGATTGTCTTCGTTTCCTGGTCTTCGAGATGAGGAGAAATTGGAACTTCCAGAGAGTTTTTAACAAGATAATCGTACACCGCTCGCCGTCGTAGTACCCCGATTGGTTCACTGCCGACCTGAGAGACCAGCTTTTGGTTCTCGAGGGAGAGATCGATTACGGGTATTTCGCCGGCGAAGGTGTCGGCATCGGCGTCCGCCTTTTCAGGATTGGGAAAATGTTCATGCCCGGGGGTGACGACAGATTTTATATTTTGGCCAGCGAGGAGCGCAAATTTTGTTTGCTTTCCATGTCATAAACTTGGACGTGTATTGTGAGGAACATTTGCAGCAGATTTCCTCAGCATCCACTCGCATCTTTTGGAGTTGGTCCGTGATGAACATGGGAGTGAAGGTGGGAAAGAGCCAGGGGAAGAGGATGATGAGGTGGCATGTTGAGGGCCACCTATCATTAACGGTGAAAGGTGACGTTGAGTAACGTCAGGGCATTTTTTTTTTTTTTCCCGGCCTGAGCGCCCACAGCATTGTTAATATGTCTTGCAAATTTTAGAAGGACATTATTGCCCAAAAGAAAAATCGACAAAAAGTACTTGGTTTCAGCGGAGGAGGCCCATATTTGGTATCCACAGTGTCTTGGATTGTCTCCAACAAAAGATACGTGTAAAAAAGAGAAGAAATTTCCACATACACAGAGAGCAAAATTGGATTTTAAACTTATTTTATCAATTTAACTGATTTTTCCCAAGCCAAGTTTAATAGTCGAATGACTCTGGAGTTGCGACTAATTTCTTCGATTTCTAGCTAAACTTGGCTTAATTAATTCGAATTTTAAGTCATTGATACCATTCTAAAAGCATCTTTTTTTTGGGGGGCTAGCGTGGAGAAATACACCTCTCTCTAACACGCGATGATCGCCATTTGCGTTGTTTCATCTTTCATGTGAGCAAAAGAATTTTCTACTATGCTTTGGTTAAAAAAATAAAAATAAAAATCAGTTCCTTGATTCTCCTGAGAAGTTTTTGTTCTGTTTTTTTTTTTTTGGTGGTATCACTCTTGAGAAGTTATGTCAGGTTGATTCGCAACCAAAGCTTATTTTTCCATTTCTGGTGCCGAGTCTTTCTGTAATAATAATCATCATCATCCTCATCATTGGACTATCACTTCTACCTCAAATGTTTCAAGTTGGACCCAACCTAGCCATCAGATTTTCCCCAGAGGATTCACCCAGTTGGCATCCTGACTTCGTTTAGTTTACGCTATACTCTGTGCAAACAAAAATGGAGAGGAGATAGGCCTTTTAACTTTTGATATAGTTGTAATATTTGTTATTTAACAGTTATTCTCAGGCCATTCATAGCTCCGTGGACATAAGCAGTCACACTCCGCTCTAACATTTTGAATCAAACACATGAAACTTTGGATCACATCAGATGCAAATGGCAGGAGGAAAAAAATTTGCACAATGTATCAGCAACACTGACACAGCATGCACATGGTCATTAATCAATGAAGAGGCAACAATTTCCCATGAAACAAGGATCAGTGGAGGTCCCCATGCATGGCAATGTGATGCCAGATTAAGGGTCCTCGCTCAAAGCAGAGATTCTGCATTCTCGAGCATCTTCAGGAGATGAATCTCTCACATTGTTCTCTTCATCATCGTCCTCCTCCTCCTCTTCATCATAATCAATGGAAGCAGGTTGTCCATTAAGATCAACATTGACTCCGTTCAACTTTTTCGCAAACTGTCCCCTCACCCGAGGTCGCCTTTCAGCAAGCTGCTTCCGATTGACATACCTAATTTTCTTATCAAAGCATCGTTCTTTCCTTTTCTTTCTGAACTTCATCAATGCTTCTGCTCTTCTATCAACTACATCCACTTTTGCTTTGGATGAACCTGAACTTCCAAATGATGGCCGTGAATGAGCTGAGGACGTCTGACCAGGTTGTAAGCATATAGTCATGGGGTAATATGGCAAGGAAGTTATCCAACTAGCATGATTCTGTTGGTCCTGGTGATTCTTAGGATACATTGGCGCTGAGGATAGCATCAGAAGGTGATTGAAGAACCCTGAAATATAATGTGGATGAGCATGATGGGAAGGAGTACCAGGTACTTCAGTCTCAGGAATATGACTTCCATTTCTGATACAGATAACATCCTGTGGTAAATGTTCATTTAAGTTCTTTTGATTTAGAGCTCCCATGGAAGCGGGTGGAGCAGAAGAATTGTCAACGGAGAAAGAATCAGCATTACTAATGCTGCTGGGTAAATAATCTTTATTAGGTCTCTCACTTGGCACTCTATTTTCATGTGTTTTAAGGTCATAAACCCCTCGTGGACAAGTTTGATGCATGTCTTCCATCCTCAGCTGCGTAGCAGCGTTACTCTGAGCTTGAGGAATCCCTTCCAAGTTGCTCTTTTGCATGGTTGTTTTAACATAACTAAAGAAGGCCGATGATTCCCCAATCCTTAGTCCACTCTTCTTTGGTCCTGAAGAACAGTGCCCTACATGATTATAGCAAAGTCAGGGAGAAGATAATGCAACTGAAAAAGAAGCTTCCGTACAAACCATATTCATCCTTAGGAACTCAAAAAGCCCTTTTCTTTTGACTTAAAATTTACAGAGACGCTTAGGAAAGCAAACTTTTTCTTCTGAAAACAAAGCATGAGGTGCATAATGACACTAAGGATGCTGCAGAGCTGCCCCTTAGCTCAAGAAATTGTATTTGGCTGGAAGTGAGTAGGAAACCTATATTTATCATCCATTTTCTCTTTTATTTATGTACTCTAATATGCATTCCAATACCATAGTAACTGGAAGGGTGCTGCACCAAATGCTTCGTTTTTCTTTTCTTTTTTTTTTGGGTTACATAAATGCTTCAAATTTATAATGCCAGAAAGTCGTATAATTTTAGATCTCGGAAATTGATAGTTGTCATAAGATAAGGAACAAACTTGTCTGGTGATCACTAATTCCAGGCACACCAAGCAAATAATCTGATGCATGGCCAGCCGGGGGCTTCTCAGGAGCATCAGCAGCAGCACCTTTAGACTGAAAAGGGAAACCATATATGACTAGACATCATTATCGACAGTTATTTGCAGCTATATAACAATCTCTCAGCTCAATGCTAAAACACTAGTATCTGGCCTGCAAAAGTTTTAACATTGTAACTTTCTTATAATTTTGATTATGATTTCCATGCCCATGCACAATAGGCCATTGCGTTTACCCAGAATTTTACTGAACCTTTGACTTTGGAGCTTCATAATGCAATCTCATCAGTAGCATTCAAATTTGATCCAGTTTGTCCCTTTTTGCCATCGATGGCAGAATGAAAACTATGACATTAATACTGAAGTTCACAAAAGGATTACATTGGCAACATAACTGAACATTGTTTTAAAACACACACCAACCACAATTATTTTGTATAATCCAGTAAATTTAAGTTAACCATGGTCCACAAGCATATCAATATATCACGCATGATTAAGCCATTGGTTATTTTCATTCTTTCATCACTTGAGTATTGTTTTGTAAACAATCACCTCATCTTGCCGCTGGATTAACATTCCTGCCTCCGGATTAGTGCTCCTGTTGGACTTGTCTTCTGTATCATCTGAGAACAAGGCGGTACTGGTTGTATTACCATCTCCAGGGTCTGATGCTACCAGATCAGAATCATAGTTCATTATGGCCGATGCCACTAGATCAAAATTATAGTTCATTATGTTCTTCTCTGTCAGACCAAGCTGCCAGAATGGAAATAAAACACAGTTTAAAATCAACTTGGAAAAAAAAAAAAAATCTAAGCTGTGTTTAACCTAATACAAACAGAAAAATTATCAGGCTAGAGTGAAGGGAAGATGCCACCCCAACACATCTCTATATTTTCATGCATAATTTTCTTCATTTAATTTAATGGCTGTGATGGTTTAATTAAAGCAGAGAGCATGTATTAGAGATGCTAAAAAGTCCACAAGCAAGTTAGTCTCAGCATCCATCTCTGATTTCTCCATTTTGCTGCAGTAGGTGGAGATTGACATACCAATAAACTAGGGGGGAAAAAAAAGAAACACTAAAATGGGGAGAAGTAGTGCAATACAAACCATGCGCCTCCTTCTCCACATGTGTGTCCACAAATTTAATAGTTCATTAGAGCGTAAAGGCTTTATTAGATAGTCTGCTGCTCCAAGTCTCAAACACTTCATAACAATGGATACCTCATGGTGTGCTGACGTCACTTATGAAAAAGAAAATCAAAATATGAATGAGGAACATAGTATGATTTTATTGGCTTCAAAATATAACAAAACCAAAGCTTACTTATAACAGGAATTCGATGCAAATCTTTGTTTCGTGCAATGTACTTCAACATCTTCATGCCCTTCTTCATTGGAAGGTCAACTTCAGCTAGTATGACATCAATATCTTGCGCCTCTGCATTCAGTACATCAATTACCTGCCTTGGAGAGCTTACTGAAGTAACTGTAAAGCATAAAGATCCAGAGTTTTATGGATAATCCCGCCAAGCAGGCCATGAATTGTACTAAGTTCACAATATGCGAGACAAATTGTATACTGCAGTAGGAAGCAGAATGTCTAAAATGATATCACCACCCTTGAGGCATTTTCAGTTTTCACTGATAAAAGGTTAAAAGGGAGGAGGAAGAAGGGAGCATTACGTTGGTTCCTTAAATGTTCACACTTTCAAATTTTAAGATAAAAGTTGGGCCTTAAAACAAGAGGACCTGAGCCAATTTCACACTTTTCAGGTTTCCAAAATTTGCTGAAGGGGATTCCCCTCTCCTGTACATGCTTATATGAGTCTTTTGGATGGCAACTAAAATCTTCTCTTAGTGTTATCTTTCATTTAATATTCATACGTAATGGTTTTATATATCACCATATGAACAAACATGATCAAACTCCATCGAACATCGAGTCAATTCAAGAAGCAATAACAAAGATTAGGATAGACAGCAGAAGTCCGTTACAAAATTGAATGTTTAGCATCAGCAATGACAATTTCTGATTTTCCTATTATTGACTGTTTAAAAACCCAGAAAATTAGTTACAGAGCGTTTGGAGACATAGTTAGCTTGCGGAGCAAGAAATGTAAATTTAAAATTTAGGTATATTCCTCTACCTATCTATTAATGATTTCTTATTACATCTTAGTTGAAATGCATATAAATCAAGGTGATGACAACGGCAAGTTCAAATGCTATACCCACTCACCAACTACAAAATATCAACACAGTATCAAAAGAAGAAGTGACAGAACTAAATATTCAAAGTTATACCTTGATAAGAACATCCCGAAAGAAGCGTTAGAACCTCTTCCGAACTCTTGGTATCATTATCGCACAACAATATTTTCACTTTGCTTCTATCAATGAGATCATCAGCCCTCTTGCTATGATTTCCAGCATTAGCATAGACTTTGTTCAAATCAAAGCCTTCAATCTCCATATAGTTCGAACTACTCATAAACCTCAGTTGACTCCTCAAAGCAGAGCTTTAGAAACCATCAACCAGGAAAATTGGAATGACAATCACAGCAACACCCTCAGCTCAAAATGCCGTCGTAGATTAAGTATTTCATCTTCCACAACGTCAAAAAGCCAATATTAGAGAACGTACATTGGCTTTATTTCCCCCAACACCAGAATAACGACAGCAAAAAGGTGATCCGTCGGAAACCCATTGATGGATTAAAACATATCCGTGCAGGTGTCCCATACTCGCACTCAAACATACGCCATGGCGCAAAGCTGTTCAATAGCCATCCAATTGCGCGCGGTGGCGCACGTAAGCCCCATCCTTAAACGGTAAAACTTCAAGCACTGAAACTGGGTGAATCAAAAGAAGTGGAGTGGGGGAGAGCCCGATACCAGAGACAACGAAAAAAGGGGAAAAAAAGGGACCTTTTTTCAGTGCCAGACGTCGGCGACTAACATGAAAATGCAGTGGGAAGCTTTCAGTTTATATTTGCAACCATAGCGGGTACAAAAAGAAAATATGAAATTTCTAAAGTTGAGTTCAATAAAATAGAAATGGGATGCAGTGGAGGAGTGGACGATATGATGCGGCAAAGAAGAGAAGGTGAGCGCGGGGAGCAGGGGAGCCTAGATAGTAGTCGGAAGGGATGACGTGGAAAGTGCAGAGAGAGAGAGAGAGAAGGTGGTGATGAAGTACTAGATTGTTTGGTAGTGGAGAGTGATAGCGAGAAAGCCACGTCATATGCAGATTTTTAAGGTAAGTAAACGTGACTAAAATACCTTATCTTTTCTTTGATTTTCAAGTGATTTTGTGCCTCATCCTAATTCCAATTCTTGGTCAATTACATACTTTCCTTTTGTTTTGGCTAGTAGTTCAAGTCACATTTTTTTGAAATAATATTATTTTGAATCTATTCAAAAGAAATACTCTTCTTATCTTTAAATATGTGTCTATAATTTGTTTTTTTGAAAAATTCCTTCAAGCAAGGAAGTTTTGGCCTGTAGCACTGGAGTTTGAAAATAGTTAAGATGCTTATTTAATTCGGAAATATGTACTTTCTGCCAAAATAAAAATAAAAAAGTGGTTTGAATAATAACCATAGTTTGACTAAAAAGTGAAGATCACTTTACTTTCAGCAGAACTCATATGCCGCATTATTGTGGAGAATGTTTTTGGTCAAGTGTCCTATCTTATCTCTAAGCGAAGAATTAATATAAAGACGAATTAATCACTTCCTTTTTGGAAAAATAAAGCAGTTCAGTTTAGGCTTAAAAGGAAATTTGACTAAATCTTAGGTCCAATTTAGTACAGAAGGAACTCTAATGTTGGAAATGAAAACAAAAAGGGATATGAGGTATCATGTTGGGTTTGGAGGAATCTTGATTCCATTATCAATAATACTCAAATATTAAAGTCTCGTGCTTTCTTTTAAAATTTATACTTCATGTCTATTTCATTTTGCCTTCATTTCCAAAACTTAATCAAACATCATTATCCCCTTCCACCATCTCTTGTGTTCTGTCTCTTCCCTCCCTCCCTCTTTAATTTGTATGCATCAATTCATTTCCCCCTCTTTCTACTATATGAACCAAACAAAATTTTACAATACTTTTCATTTATTTATTTATTTTTATAAATGTTCAGGAAAAAAGAATCCTTGGGACATACATCGGTTAAAATTGATTTTGAAAGTTCGATGAACCCGGCCATTTTACTTTTTATGATATAATGGGCTATTTTTCCTTTTATGGGAGAGAGTGATGTTATGTTTATTATTATTGGTTCCTTGTCGTTAAACTTTTTAGGTTATTCAAAAACAAGGAAAAACGGCTGCACCCACATGCTTTATTTAGCTGGCTTTAGTTGTAGTTTTCAATATAGCAGCAACAAGTCTTATGCTTCATATAACGACATAGTAAAATTATTTTTAATGTTAACTAAATCAAATTGTCTCAAATAACATAACTAATTACTCACAACATAAAACTTCGGATTCTTTAAGCATCTAGTCAGGGGTTTGATTCCCGGCGATATGTATG